GGATATTTGTTAGAAGGTATCTTAACAAAGGCTGCATAGATCTCGCTGAAACTTAGTCTAGAAGAACATATAGGCTACTAATTAAACATATTTTTAATTCCGCGCGGACGGAGTCGCGGTCGACAATTGGTACTTCCTGATATGATTTAATGGAACTGCTAGTCGGTTTGTACTAGGGTATTTATATCTTTAGATTTAATATTGTTTTCGAGGTAATAATAAAAACAATACTGGATATCTCCGGTATCGACTTTTCCCTTAACCTCTATAAATAAGAACGCCGAATGAATATTTTATGCGAGAGCCAAAAAACTTTGCGGTTTATTTTGTGAAAATCTAACGAGATTTTTGCAACGGGTTTATAAAGAGTATTTTATACCCTAGCGCCGGAATTTAAATTTGGATAGTTTAAATATTTAACTACAATAAGATTATAAAAAAAGAAAATTAACTACATATGGAGAAAAATATATATTTGTTAATGCATTGTGTTGACACATAGGCTACTATTTAAGTTTTAATCAATTTAGCGCAGACGGAGTCGTTGGCGACAGCTAGTATTCATACATAATAAAATTCAAGGTATGATTGTTTCATGGACGGGATCGTGAACCACACGACAGCTTTGATTATCCTAGTTAATAACAAATAAATAAAATTTAAAAAAATGTTAGAAATAAAGAAAAATTAAATAAAATTTCTAAATTATATTAACACTTTTTACTTGCTCTACTAAACTTCGTTATATTTTCTATGTATAGATTTAGTTAGTAAATAATATAATTCAAACAGAAAGCTATTTACTAATCTTTCGGTCGTGTCGCGTCCTACGGATATAGGCTTTTATAATGCTCCTTTCCTGAAATATTACGTGAAACGCTTTCCCCGGAAGTGACAATGTCGAAACCGGGACCGGAAGTCTTACGTTATTTATACAAAGTTGGCGGTAAAAGATGGAATTAGATGGAAATCTAGACAGTGAATTTCCACAACAGAAACACGTTTATAAAAATAAATTTAGGTCTCTGTCATTCCAAAATACAGTTCAGACGATGCCTTTATTCATCTTTGTCAAACTTTACTAAGGTCTACTTATTAAGCAGATGCTTAATTGACTAGTAAGTATAGATTTAATGTTTAATCTATAAAGTTTAATATTTCCAACTTCCTAATTTTATCCATAACGAAGTTACAAGACTGACAAAAAGTCCTGAAGCATTTCTAGTAAAATTTTGGTCGCATAGCCGTATACTCCGATGATATTAAATTGCTTTTTAACAATAATTAAACAGTTTAAGCTCCTTATCAAGATGGGACCGACATATACGTATATCTAATCCTAGCAGTCGCCCGCAGCTCCCACCGCGCGGGATTCAAAAAGAACTTAATTAGTAAACTATGTGTAAATACTTCAACAATGGTAGAGCCCGCTTTAACATCTTCGCACGAATTGGCCCGGCTCGCCCGGTGAAATACCACGACCACACAGAAGACAGACGTGAAGTGGAAGCAATTCCACGTTTCGTCTGATAAGTATGCGTCCCGGAGGCCTAATTTAATCTTTCCCTTCCCACGCTTTTTCTTATTTGGAAAGGATAGGAAGTGGAAGTGGACTTTCCGGATGAGAGGATGCATGGTAAGGGAAGATATTTTCTTACTGTGCATCCTCTCCTCCGTCGATTGAAGGTAGGCAACGCATGTGCAATTGCGTATGTCTATGGGCAACGGTCGCTTCGCTATTTCAGCGATTTCAGGTGGCCGCTCGCTTGTTTGCCACCTCATGATAAAAAAAATGTGTCCTTCCAGATGCATCTATCTACATCTATGCAAAATTTCAGCAAGATCTGTCGTACTTCCAACATTTATCCATCTAAACTTTTTCATATATATTTGTACCAAAATGTAACCAATTTAGGTTAGTTTTGTAAAAATAGATAAAGGATAAATATGAAAAGATTTAAAGCAATACATTAATAAGAGTAGTCTTTTACAGCAGCTAAAATCCTGTCACCGCGAGAGAAATAAAGCTCGCATTGTAATGGAAGTCCCGTGTTAACTGCCTTCGTACATCACCTGAAAGTCACGTCACCATTGGTAAGGTAAAAGTTACTTATAGATGAACTTAAAAATTACAGAATACGAACAAAATAAATAAATATTTATTGACAAAATTTTATGCAGCTTGTGAGTGTGTTTGTGTGTGTGACTGTGTGTGAACTCGTGCCTGTGTGTGTGTGTAAAATAAATAATGCAATGAAAAAGGTTAGTTTAAAGTCGACCAGCGCCATCTAGATCAATGTATAAAAATTTAAAAAAAAAAATTCTATTAAATATAATGTAAATTCAGGGCTAAGAAACTATAAAAAAAAGATAGTTGAACATTATTGGAATAAAGGTGTGTCTAAACAATACAAATAAATTATTGAAATATTGCCAGTTGCCTTTTGGCAAATTTAATAAAAAGGAAAAATGTCCGATAAGGGATTCCATTTGTCACTTTACCATACGAAACTTAGAGCTGTATAAATATTCCGGTCATGGCCGCCGTCTATTCTCGGAATGTGAAAAGCTGACTTGATCCGTAGAAAGCCGAGCATTATGTTTTCTGTCAACATAAGTGCTCCAAATTATATGCTATACTATGACGAGAATCTACACAATTGTAACACCTGTATAAATATAGCCAACTCTTTCACTCTTCTTGTATTAAACAGAGACAACAATAGTCTTAGTGTATAATCGCGTAGTCAAGTGAAAAAATTTTGTTTTGTAGTTTATTGCCAAATGCAAAATCGATAGATCGATAAATAGTTGTTTGTTAGAAGGTATCTCTAGATTGGCTGCATGGATCTTAATGAAATTTGGCACAGATTCAGAACATAGTATGGAAGAAGACATAGGCTACTTATTTTTTTTTTTAATTTCATGTGAACTGAATCGCGGGTAAATGTATAATTTCTAATACATTAGAAATAAATTGTTGTAATAAGCTGAATTAACATTCTCTCAGTATTGCCACAATAAAATATAATAAATAAAATAAAAAATTGAATAATCAATACTTTTGTTGTTAGGTAATATTAAATTTTGCTGGCTTCGGAATTGTTCTCAATTTGCGTTCCAACTTCAAGGGACTTTTGATCTCAATCGACATTAATTTCAATTAAAACTGGTTTCCTATTGTTTTGTTTATTGAATAACTTGATTATAATTCACAAACTTTTAGGAAATCACGAAGAATTTTCTTATGTCAAGCCTTAGAATAAGGTAGAGTAAGCCGGATAGACGTAGAGCTCGTGGTAAACCGAAGCATAATGTCTAGATGACTTCGAGCGCGATCTTAAAAACATCGGCGTTAAGATTTGGACGCCAAAAGCCAAAAGACCGGTGTGGAGAAATTTATTTGACCCGGCACAGGCCTACTCGCGGTTGTCGCGCCTCTGATGATGACGAAGTCTTAATTTAACGTACTTTTATCATAAAAAACGAAATTGATATATTTTAATAGAAGACTGATTTAATATGGAGTAATTTTAATAATTTATTTGAAAAAATCTTCAGAATTGTTCAGAATTACGAGCTTTACTTTCAATAAAGAGAAGCTTTTACAGTCTTATTATATTAGGATTGGAGGTCGAGTAATCTACAGATATGTATTATACAAAAATATGAACATAGTAGCTATGGCCCGCGACTCCTTTCGTACGGAATTAAAAATAAACTTAATTAGTAGGCGATGTGTTCTTACAGACTATGTTCTGCATCTATGACAAATTTCAACGAGATCCATGCAGCAGTTCTGGAGATACTTTCTAACAAACATCCATGTATCCAAACATTCGCATTTACTTCATGGATTTGAGCGTATGTCTCTTCCATTGTTAGTGGTTTGATGGATTGACTGATGGTTTGACAATCGATCTTTTTCCTTCCCTGTTAAAAGGATAAAGTCTAATTTCGTTCGGTTTTGCAAATCTTTTATGTCCTGTAGCATGATTTTAAATATCATCCAAAATTTTTAACAAGATATGTTAAATTATTCAAACTTTCGTGAGACATTATACTAAACTGATATATAAACACGGCTAAACACTCACGTATATACGTCCGGTGGCGGCACCGACTAGTTTCGAGCCCATCGGGGGCCGTATATACGTGGGTGTTTAGCCGTGTTTATATATCAGTTTAAGATATGTTAAAATTATTGTTATTCTCCATTTAATATATTTCATAAGTTAATTAACAGAACAATTTATTATTTAATTCAAAAAGCGCATTTTAAATTGCACTTACACAATTAATATGATAATTTTTAGACGTTAAAATAATAAATCCAATGCAATAATTCTCCTGCAAGTCTGCAGCACGGATGCAATGCTAATCTAAATTCATTGAGAAGTTTGAGCACTCGCCTTACAGCGCATTACCATTCAGAAGATGTTGGCCTTAACACTAGTGATGTTCTTATACCAACTATCGATATATCGATAATTTTAATATTTATAAATAATGACAGAGTAATGTTAATCTTATCTTTACCAAAGAGGTGCTTGTATAATTCATGCAATGCAATGCAATGCAATATATTCTTGCTCTATTGCTTCTATTCAATTCTGAAAGTAATTATAATAAGTATACATAATTTTTTATATCTTTGTATGAAGGAAATTCGTTTCGTAAATTTAATGAATTAAGAAAAATAGTCGTTTTTTCAATAATTTAATAAAGTCAAGTATCAGTTCATTATTGTTTGTTGCTTCTGGAATGCTGCAGGACGAATCTAGCACCTGCCTTAATACCTTCCCAGGTTTCCCTTCCGGCTTGCTCAATGAAGGCAGGGTCAACCAGGAAACCATTTAAACCACCTGAATTGGCACGAGCCGGTAGTTCATAAGTGTATGCTAGAGGTACACCAACTGCTTGAACGTAATCGTTAGCACTTCCTGAATCCCTGTATGAGAGTACTAGAGCCGAGTTTCCTACTCGGTAGTTAGGTTTGGAAGACCATTTAACAGCATCAATAGCCTGTGCCATTCTTACACCTGCTACGTTAAGAGTTAATGCATTAGCGGGCAAATCACCAGTACCATAAGCGTACAAGATCATACTGCCGAAGCTGTGGATATCGATGAATAGTTCAATACGGTTCCTGAGTCCCTGGATAATATTCCGAAGGACAACAGTTTCAGGTTCAGAGAATGGACCTTTGCCATGGTAAGTGTCGGAACAAGGCGAGTTGCTAGACAAAGTACCCCATCTGTAGTCGAAGTTGCGGTTTAAGTCAACTCCGAGGCAAATGTTTCCGATCATGTGGCCGGTGGAACGGTTTTTCCTCCAGAAACGAGTCTGAAAAAATTTACAGACACAAAATTTATTTATTTTAAAATAATGTACACGGAAGTATAATAGTTTTGTTATTCTTTAAAGATACTAACGTTGGTGTGGCTGAATTCATAACCATCAGGATTGGCGATGGGTAAAATGATCCAGTCAATGTTGTCAACTAAATCTCTGTCAGTGATGTCGACAACCAATTTTCGGATAGCATACAAAGCTGCTGGTAAAGTCACCCATTCACGTGCATGTAATAAAGATTGAAGCACAATAACAGGTTTCCTATTGTTCTGAAAATAAATTTATGATAAATTTAGGATTTCTGAAAAGATTTGTTGTTCAGTTCCATAAAATTTTTAACGAAATGTACCTGGAAGTTGGTTGTTGATATTCTCAAGTATTTAATGTCGCGTCCTTCAAAACTTCTTCCTCCAGAAACAACTGATACGGTGGAGTATTGACGAGCCAAGTTAGTAAGATAAGCATCAACCTTGAAACAATGAAATTTGATTAGCCTAAGTATACTGGATGCGGGCGGCACAGGGCCGGGCATTGTGGCAGTCGATGGGAGAGGCCTACGTCCTCCTCGAGCAGTGGAAAAGTTTAGGCTGATGATGATGAAGTATACTATAACTAACAATTGCATCTATGCAACTTAAATTATAAAGACTGAGGTCGAGATAACATAATTATTATGCCAGAATGAGAAGACTTAATACAATGAGAATATTTAAAAAGAGGATCTGTATAGAAATAATATCATACTAATGCGAATGTTTAAATGGATGGAAGTTTGTTTGAAATTACATCCAGAACGGCTGCACGGATATTGCTAAAATTTGCCATACATACAGAACTTAGTCTAGAAGAACACATAGGTTACTAATTATGCTTTTTTTAAAGTAAGAAATAATATTACAATGGTGATGAATCTTTGCTCCTATTGTTGGATATTAAAGACGCAATAAAAGTAATTATTATAATAGTAGAGGCTCAATTGGCAATATTGAAGAAAACTTTCTTGACGGAAATTTGGTAAATCCTGTCGTAAATATGTGAGCAATATAGATAAGCATGATTAGGTATAAGAATTACTTAATTTTAATAACTTTTTACCACACGGATTTTATGTATTTTTATGGTTCTGATAAGTAAATTGGATTAGAGAATTCCGTTTACTATACATACCGCTGCGTAACGGTGGATGACGTTAAAGGAGAGGCGGCCGTCAGTTCCATTGGTGAGGGCTACTGCGGCTGATAAGAGTTCGTCTTCCTTCTCCAGCATCCTGTCAGATGTTATACACTTAATACGTTTGCATAATTAAAGGAGCTACTATAAGCAGGAATTTATTTGTATAAAATAAATTGTCATAGATTTTTAGTTACTTACCTTATGACAAGACTTATATTTAATTATCTTGATCTTAAAGTTGAGCAATGATTCTCTTTCTTAAGTGTCAAGAACGACCACTGTAGTCATCTCGATTAACATTTGCGTATTTCTCAATTAAATCGTACTTCGTCGTTCAGTATTTTGATTTTTTTTAATTACTCTCCTAGTTGTTATTAATAAAGTACTTACTCAACAACATTCTCGACTTCAATTTTGAAAGTTGCACCGGCTTCGGTCACTTGCTTTTGGAAGTAATCCCGCATGGAGCCAGCGACCAACACAAGTCCAGGCCTGGCTGGTGTCGCATACGACCACATGTCTATACCAATTACATTTTCCAGTGCGTGTACTGTTTGCGCTTGCTGTCCATCTGACACTTTGACTTCGTAGAGTACATGGCTGGAATAAATCTTATTTTTTAATTAAACATATTTGAATTTTAATTTAGTGCTTGCTGAATAATAAGCAATGAACGAAATTGCAAGTCCTAGAGTGGAGGCCGCGGATTAGTCGACGCAGCATAGGTAGGCCTCCTGTACGATGGACCGATGACCTGGTCAATGTTGCGGGAGTGCACTGGATGCGGACGGCACAGGACCGGGCATTGTTGCAAGCGATGGGGGAGGCTTACATCCAGCAGTGGACGAATTAGGGCTGAATAAGATGATGATGATGATGAATGACATTGTTTATGCCAATCCCACAATCAATGATTTGGAACTCACAAGCCCACTGAAGTGGTGATATAAAACAAAGATGGTACGTGTCGGTTTAATAAATACCTATTTAGTCTACTCTATGACTAAATTATATAAAATGAATCGTAGTATTTTGTTTTTAAAAGAAATGGGTCCGATTTACATTTTACCAACTTAATCCTCGTTAAGTAAATAGATGACTATACTTTTAAGATCTTATGTGAATTCTTATTCCCCTGTTTTTTCGGTTAATTAAAAAAATGATATACCTAATTTAATCAAATATCGAATTTTTACTTACCCAGTATACTGTTCGTGTTTGGCAAACGCCAAACAGATTGTTAGAGATAGAATAAATGCAACTTTCAGCATTTTACCCAAATTCCAACTCAACTAAGCACCAAGTGATCTGATCATTGGAGCGGCCTTTTATTTAAGTAAATAGTTTTTATCTGCAGTTAATATCGATTACATTATAACCTAATAAACGTCTTACTATTTATCTTACTAATATTATAATATAAATAATAACATTCATTTAAATGTATGGATAGATGTTTGTTACAAGATATCGCCAGAACCGTTAAACGAACCTCGATGAAATTTGGTATAGATGTAGAACAGAATCTGGAAGATCACATAGGCATGTTAATATGTTCTTTTTTTAAATTAATAACGCGCGAATAAAGTCGCGGGCAAAACTAAGTTGGTAATAAATTAAGCAATATTTTATTACCTACCATATATTTAATCTATTTCCAGTATTACTGGTTAAGACTTGGCCTTTTGAAAAGATATAAAATGTTATCTAACTGGTTGATTGTTCTATTAACACGATCTACACTCGAAATTAAAAGTATAAAATGTATATGTTCATACCATAACATCATCATTATCATCATCTCTCTGTTCTCATCTGATTTGTGTAGGGTCAGCAAATTTGGTTTTCGTCCTCCAGATTGATCTATCCTCCGTCATGTTAGTCGTCGTTTCCATCTTAAACATCTCCCTTTCAATCAATATATCAATCTCTTCGTACTCCGAATGTTTTAACTCTCAACATTTTTTTTTTAAATTCTCCTTGTCACTTACGATTTTTCCCTCATCATAACTATTATTAAGCAAACCTATTGCTTCTTAATTTTCTACCATAGGTGCTACTTTCAGACTTCATCTAATATACATAAACTCTACTGCCTATAATACCAAAACATTAATATGCCATATCTTATTAATGCAATAAATGCGATTGTTTAAATGGATGAATGTTTCATAGAAGGTATCTCCAGAACGGCACTACACTCTTGTCAGTCATGTATGGCTGTTCGTCGCAATTTCATGCTTAAAATGATAGACAAAGATATGAATCACATTGCATTTCAAGTTAAGGAGAAATGGTGAATACAAGGAAAATCAATCAATCCGCGTTTCGTCTGATGAGTGTGCGTCCCGGAGGCCTAATTAAGTCCTCTTTCCCATCCCACTCTTTTTCTTATAAGGAAAGTATGGGAAGTGGAAGAGGACTTTTCGGATGAGAGGATGCATGGAAAGGGAAAATATTTTATTTTTGTGCATCCTCTCCTTCGTCGATTAAATGTAGGCAACGCATATGCAATTGCGTATGTCTATGGGCAACGGTCACTTCGTTATTTCAGCGATTTCAGGTGGCCGCTCGCTCGTTTGCCACCTGATGATAAAAAAAATCAATCACACTTGTAATTCCACCTCAATTATCAAAATTGTCTTTTCTAAATATAAATAATTTCCCAATTATTCTGGAAGTTTTCATGAGACAAATTTTCATCTCCGGCTGTTTATAATATCTTTTTTGTTATTGAATTATCTTCGCTCCGTCGAACCGGAATAACGAACGTAAATTTACTTTACGATTTAGTTTTACCTTTCGATTTCATCTTAGTGCTTGGTTAAATTGTTGAAACTTTCCAAAGATATTATTATAAAGATAAAATTCTTCAAAAAAGTTCCGTTGGTTGCATATATTTTTTTATATCATAAAGTGGATTCATAAAAATCGATAATGCGAGCATAGCAAAGTGCCTGTTGCCCGTGGACATACGCCATTGCATACGCGTTGCCTACCTTTAATCGACGTAGGAGAGGATGCACAGAATGAAAATATTTCCCCCTTCCATGGATCCTCTCATCCGGAAAGTCCACTTCCACTTCCCAACCTTTCCTTATGAGGAAAAGGATGGGAAGGGAAAGAGGACTAAATTAGACCTCCGGGACGCACACTCATCAGACGAAACGCGAAATTGCTTCCACTTCACGCCTGTCTTCTGTGTGGTCGTGGTATTTCAGCGGGCGAGCCGGGCCGATTCGTGCGAAGATGTTAAAGCGGGCTCTACCACTGTTAAATATATACTCTAAACATAAAAAAAAACGGCCAATGACAGGTGACTAAAATAATATTGCCAGTTCATTAGAATTCGTGGACCAATCACAACAGACGCATAATTGTGTTTTAGAAGAAGTTTAGTAGTTTAGAAGTTTTCATTTTCATTCATAAAAATGAAGAAATGACATAAAAGGCTAATAAAGTACTCTTTAAACAGCATCATGCTTTTTAATTATGGAAAGAAAAAATAATAAAGAGTACCTAGCTGGCACTTTTATAAAATTCATTTAAATCACAGCTTTAATTATCAGTCGCTTCTAAAATAGCTTTTACATAAAACTAATAGAAGAGACTTATCACCCGACTGCAAGGAAATTTGGTTTACGTTTATGTTATAATTTTTTAATATGTATGTGGGTCTTTAAGGCAATTCATTGAGGACCTGTAGCCTAAACGGTTAAACCTATGTTAGCACAGAGTATTGTATTTATTTAAATCAACAATTATGTTCTTAGTTACCAAAGCTATATTTTTTTGTAATCTAAAATACTGTTTTAAATTTTTAATATTTAGGCCACTTCTAGTTTTTAAAAAGTCTAGCTCTTCGTACAGATAGCAAGAATTCATTAAAATTTCTCATTTGACGGAGTCCCTAAGAAGCAAGACGACGGAAATTCTTTAGAGATTTATACTCTAGTTATAAAATCTTAACCTATCTTTAGTGCAAAGATATTTACAATGCAACTAACCTCGCTTAAATTATATTGTTATTTCGTAGATCTTCTGTTTAACTCAGTTAACAAGACTATTTGTTCATTAAATAACCAAAAAAACCCGACTGACTATATGTTATGACACTCAAGGAAAGTATAGGAATCGATTTAATCGTTTTGGCTGCAGGCGGTCACAATTGGCAACATAAACATGGAGCTGGTCTGAATTACAAGCTAAGTCTGTCGGTTTTTAATCAGCTACCGCTTGTCAAATTACATTTATTAGAAATTGGTAAATTATATACTTCTTCTTCTTAACTTAATTACACATCAACACTGATATTGGTTAAGTAAATTTACCAATGTTATGTGAAAATAAAAGTAAATTGAAAGAAATCAAACCCATAAGCGCGGAGCAATCGAATCGTTTACCTCGAAATGTAGGTACCTAAAAATAATATTTGAATAGGAATCAGTCGATTGCTTTGAACGAGCCAATATTCTCACCTTCTCAACAGCAATCGGATTTCGGGGATTTTGGTTCAATTTGATTTGAGCTAACAGATCTCTTATAATTCTTTAATAATATTGAAGCTTGTACTGTGAGGTAAAAACCTACAGCTTTTTATTTACGATTTTATTAGTCATAATTATGAAAATTATTCTCTGTTTTTAATGATAGTGGAAATTATGACTTGACCGGCGGAGAACGCCGAAATAGCGAAACGACGGATTTGCTTACTTTTAATCGACGGAGAAGAAGACCCACAGAAAAATAATATTTCCACTTCCTATGCGTTCCCTCCTCTATCAATCCATTTACCTTCGAATAGGCACGAATTGAGTAGACCAAAATTAGGTCTACTGAACTCACGCTTATCAAACAAAATGTGGAACTGCTCCCACTTGACGCCTGTCTTCTTTATGGTCTTACACCAGTCGCGCCAACCCATTTGTGCATGCATTGATCCCAGTAAATTACTCTATTTAATTTAAAAATCGAATTAATGCCTTTGGATTTTATGACATCTGAAGTTGTTTTGGCAAATACCATAATTTTTAAAATCAAAACGTAGCCATGGAAGCTTAGTAATATTTCTTCATACTAATTAAAACCGGTTCCCAAACAAGAACAAAACAGATTACTACTTTGAAGATCCGTAGTTGTTCGAGCTTAGTCTGATTTAAATTTACATATTTCTTTAGTCAGCGGTACATGTAAACTTTAGTATTTTAATTGAAATTTTCCCACAATTCCTTAAAGTTAGCTCAGTGCCCGATCAATTTTCAATTTAGAGTATTCTAGACGCGTTCGCGAAGGTGTTTAGGGATGCTAAACTCTTTTAAGTTTTTGATATCGACATATTTTTAGTAATAATATTTTTTGGACTTTAGGAAGCCTTAATCTCTCGATTATATAATAGCCACACGCAAGGGCGTTGTCAGACTATTATAAAAGGTAGTTTTTTTTAATTCCAAGAAAATGCTTTTTAACATGTGATCGAATTTTATAATGAAAAACTGACAATGCGTATTTGAGTTACTAGGATCGTAGGCGGAGTGGTTTTATATTTTTCAGGACTTTAAGAAAGGGGGAGAGGTGATCTTGTGATCTGATATGTAGGTTCCTAAAGAAAGCCAAAACAAAGCCAAAAATATTTTTATTTAATAATATTTGGGTCTCTATTTATTCCAGAAATTAGACTAAATAGCTCATTTATTCCAATCTCCAAACAAATCTCTGGCTCTTCTGGCAGCAACGACAATACCCGCCCAAGTTTCCTTTGCGATCTGCTCAATTTCTTTAGGGTCGGGATTAAAGCCTTTGGTATTATCCAAAACTCCAGGAAGTACCAAATTGAAGGATAAAGGTACGCCATTGTAATGAAGAAAATCGACCGTACTGCCAGAAGTTTGTTGGCCAGTCACCAAAGCAGAATTACCAACAATGTATCTAGGGTAATTAGGTTGTGCATTTTCATGGATTGCATTTGCAATGGATACACCAACAGTTTGGAGGGCGAAAGCTTGTTGAGACAGTGTACCATCATGACCCCAGGAGTAAAGGATCTGGCTACCGTAGCTGTGTAGAGAAATGTATAAAATCGTACGGTATCCATATTGCTCGAGGTTTCGTTGTCCGAATTGAACTTCTATTTCGGAGAATGGTTGTCTGCCTGCGTAGTTGTTGTCACACGGATCCGAGCTAGTACCGTATAAGTTCCAGTAGAAGTCAAAATTACTGTTAGCGTCTGCGCCAGGGCACTCGACACTATTGTCATGATTGTCTGTAGACCGAGTCTTCAACCACAAGGGATCCTGAAATTAAATGTATATCATTCAATGCTCAAATTAACCAAGATATTTTTTAACTCTCTTTTAAATTCTACGATATATAAAACTTACGGTAGTTCTTGAGTATTTGTATCCATCAGGATTGAGCATGGGTAGAATGACCCAATCGAGATCCTCAATCAAATCCTTGTCAATAGCTTCGTCAACCAATTTGCTAATCGCATACAGGGCTGTGGGCGGACTGATCCACTCTCGGCTATGGATACCGGCGTCAACGATTATAATGGGTTTCTCTTTATCATCATCACTAGGTTTCGCGATCTTCATAAGATAAATCGGACGACCTTCAAATGTTGTACCATTCTGGAGTGTCACTAAATCTGGGTATTTATTTGCAACGTCAGCGAGATATGCATCGATCTGAAATAATAATTATATATTTTTATATACTGTGTTTTTGACTTTTTGTGGCAATCGAATAACTAAGTTTATATTGAACTTAACTTTAAAAAAAATATAATACGATTTTTTAAAAAGCTATAAAATTTTTACGTTTACTATAAGAAAAAATTATACACATGTGAATGTAAAACACACTTAAAAGTTTTTAGGACCCTAGATCTAGAGGATCAGCACTAATAGGGTACCTCTTCAAGTTCCAGATATCTGTCGAATATAGAAACTTCTCCTTCAAGACTGTTTTTTCTCGCTTCTAGCAGAGCATCATCAATGTCCAATTGTCTATGGAAAATAGAAAACACGACAATTAGTTTGCTGAACCAGTAATAATATTTTTAAGAAACATTTTCGATTCATATACATTTTAAGAGAGGAATTCCATAATTTTATCAATTTTAGTTTTATAATTTATACTTTGCTCAGATATTTTCACTATGACTTTATTGTAATTATACACTTATTTAAAAGTAAGGATAAGGAATTCACTGCCTTCTGTATCGTCCTTAATCAGAGATCTAATTATGATTTTGTATCCTTTAATTCTGGTGCGAGACCGCAAAATGTTGTCGGTCCTCGTTTACGTTCTTATTTAATTCATTAATTGTTGTTTTCCTGTATTCTGTTAAATCCATCAATAAAAAATTGATCCATTGATACAATAAATTTATTTGACCTGTCACAAAATAATCTTGATATATGCAACACTTTTCAAACTACTGCCTAATCCGACCTAATTTACGTAATAGATAAATTAT